TATTTAATGTATAATCTAAATTATGTATAGGTAGAATGGTATAAATATAATACTGCCGTGTTAAATTCATTAGACGCGGACTGATATGTATTAATATCATATTTATTTTGTATAGAATACATTTATTTTTGCTGGTCTGGCGTTTGACTCGTTTTAAGGATTACCGATGACGATATCCACGTCTTGAGTTTAATACGGTACAGGGGACATTGGGAGAATTGCGGTTAGCGAAAAGATACATTATTAAATCTACAAGTCTTCATATTTGTATTAACCTTCATAATTATATTGGCAAAAATAATGTATAACATCATAAATCTCCTACAATTTCTCTTATTGCTTGGCAGTTCACTCCCATTCTCCTCTTTGTGGAATAGGCCTACATGGGGACACCACAATAAAAAAACGCGCCTCTTGCAATACCTCATGTGATATTAAACTCGACATAGATTGTCATCGTTTAATAAGCTAAGGTGGTGTGGAAATTTGCAATGCACTTACTACAGTCGCCAGTCTGCAGTAAATATGCCAAAATTACCAAACTAAATATTTACGTTTTTTTTATTAGAGAATATAATCCTATATAATTTATTATATTGTACATATAATAATACATATCAACTTAACTAACTAGTTTTTTTAAATATAGTATAATGTAAACACGATTATGTTCAAATACAAACTACAAATACTCGTGAAAATTTTGATGAATTTGAAATAAAATCACTTGAAAAATCTGTTGTAAAAGAATATAAATACAAAATAGTAGGTAAGATATTGATATTTCAAGAATTGTGTGTTGTAACTAATTACAATCATTTCCAAAAAGATTCATACTTTTTGTTTTTGAGATGATGAGAAGTTTATTATTAAAAGAATTACTTCGAGTGTTGCAAAATGTTTAACTATTATATTACCTATAACTTATAAGTAATAACTAATAATATAATATGTTGATTATTGACTATTGTCTATTATATATTTATATGTCTTGGTAGTGTATTAGAAGTTTGTACGTATGATGAATAAAAAATTTAATTTTTTAAAATTATTAGAATAAAAGCTATATATTTATATAGATATTTCATATACCTAAGTTTGTTTATTTCAAATATAAATCATGACCATGACGTAACTAGGGGTCTATTTTTTTTTTTTAAGTAGAAAAATTTTAGAACTGGATATTATTTAGTGAATAGATTTTGTATATATTAAGCATAATTTCATATTTTAGTTAAAGCAGTAACTACCTAATAACGACGATAAAGAGTTTTATATTTTAAATTTATTCGAAATTATGAATGTTCTGTATATAATTAATAAAATGACCCTCCTCCCGAAATTTGTTCCAAGTTACGGCCTTGATCGTGATAATAAATATTTTTTAAATGTGAAATGAATATATAATTTTTTAAATAAATATGTAATTATCAATGTGTTCAGTGTTGATACATATAGGTTAGGTTGGTTAGGACCTACTTAATTATCTTCTAAAATTTCATAWACTCTTAATTCTAATTTTACAATTTATAAATCAGTTATTGATTTAAACCTTAAAATTCTGTAGGTAGGTACATAATTTATTATAGAACAAACGATTTGTAGGTATGTATTACTGCATATACGGATACAAATGTATAACATACCTAAATAATTTTAACAACGTGTGTTTTGGTTCTGTTACGCAAATTATCGCTCTAATTATCAAAATTCAATTGCTACCTACTTAAAAATTTAAAATGTATGTGTTTCGTGTTCCTATTAAAAGTATATAAAATGGAATAATTATGATATTTAATGGTTTACGACATGGATGAGGCGTTTTGTACAAAATTTAGGATTACAGTCCTCATCAAACAATTAACACCCACCAGTTTGACACCATATACGCCTCAACATCTGAGAAGCTAAATTTTGTAAATTTCATTAACTGATACCTATGTTTGTTTTAAAGGAAACAATTTATGTCAACTCATATAGGTGGGATTATTATACATAATTTTACAATTTTCATGAATATAATATTCACCGAAGTCTTTGAACTATACATAAAGCGTATTTTTATTATTGTTAAAGATGAAACTTGAGTAAATATTTAAATAAATAAATATTCGTGTTATTTTGTATATTTTCAACTTTTTAAATGAATAGGTATGTGGGATAGATATAGAGGCAACGCTGTAACTCCCTCCAACATTTTAGCCCTAATTGCGCCACTAGAAGCGATAGTTATGTCATTGAAGGATTCGGAAGCTGCTCGTACAAATTTCGGTTGGTCGCCTACTCGCTTATGATGGAGATCTATAAAGAGAGCTGAGAGCACGCTAGGTTTTCCAGGACATTGCCACGCAATTATGTGATCAGAGATCCTTGTTCAGACCGCTCGACATTGAAGTTCTCCGCTACAAAATCCCCCGTACCATTAGCATTACGCACTCAATAGGTATTATTCTTGCATGCAGAGGAACGTATTGAATTTATAGCCACATTGACATTGGATTAACAATAGATTATAAACGTGCGCTAGATTTTGTGTCTTGTGCAGCATTCATTTTCAACTGACCCGACATAACAATATAAGTAGGTTGGTAGGTAACTAACTTATTTGATATTTCCCTCATTATGGCATAGTACTCTCATCATAAGTACAACTAGTGAAAGGTATGCCGGGTAAAAATGATGAAGTCCGAAGTCGTATATCATTCGATTATATGATTATAAGATTAAAATATCGTTTAGTTATGTGCCTATACGACCTACCTATTTATGAGTGGTGAGTACGCACAAATGGGTTATGTGCATTTAATGCATGAAATGTACATTGTTATGTCTCAAAGTTTTAGTAGCGTAGGTACTTAGGATTTCGTCAAGGGGGGATATACATTAGCAAACATTTTATTTCCCTAAGGGGAAAGGGATAATTCACTTACCATCGACATAACAAAATATTATAAATTATAACAAATAAGTGACCAAAGGGGATCTATCCACCCGTAAATATGCCACAGTAAAGTTTGTAGTTAAGTGTAGTCGTGTAGTGTTACTACATCGAACACGCGTGGAATTCGTCTGTCAGTATAAAACCCAGATTTATCATGTTTTAATTTACCGTAATAATCATTTGCTATAATCACCATCGACCGTGAAATTTCCAGAGTTGGATCCAGTTTATAACTATCATGTGGTGCACCAGATCTGCTTTAAACTCCTTTTTGTTAATTTTTTTTTCAAATGTGATATGTTGTCAGATATTTATAGATAATATATTAAAATACATATCCTAGATAGTAGATAATTATAAACACGTATAATTTTTACAAAACATATTTATATTTTGCAAAGAAACATTTATAATATCATAAAATAGAGATTAAGAGTATGTCAAACTCATAAATATCTATAATGTTTCAGACTTTGTCTAACAAAGATATAACTCAGCAAATGTATACAGGAAAACCAGCTTTAAATTTTAACTTCTTTCAAATTATTGATTACTCCATGTATTTTCAAATTTCCATCAGCCTGTCCATAGCAGTGAGTACTTCATTATAATGTTTTCCTAAAACAAAAAAATAAATGTCAATAATTTTTAAAATTAAATGATTTGTTTTAGTTGAATTTAGATGGGTTTAATTAAAAAAATTATATAATATTAAAGTATATACAGATAAAAACATTTTGATTTAATAAATTATAACATTTAAGAATAAATAATAAATATCAAGAATCTTTGAATAGCTATTACAATATGATAGGTATACTAAGAAATTATTATGATAATTAATCGTTTAATCTTATCATATGGAATGAATTGTTCTCATTATATAAAAGCCAAAAGGTAAATAAGTAGTATACAATTATAAATTATTATTATAATACAAGTAAATTAAGTTACCTCCAGATGGGACCTTAAAATTACCGCTTATCAAACAGTCTTTAAGTTCACAGCCAGCACTGATTACAGCATCGTGACATACAATACAATTTTGAAGTACACATCTGAAATTTTCAACATTTAAAATTAAAATTATAATAATATAAATAATATATATTTTTCTTATCATTATTTAAAAGGCTGTTTTACAACTGTGATGAGTTATAATTATAATATAATATATGCTGTCTTATTTAAGCATGACTCAAGGGTTGGTATGAGCGTGGTCAATGCGTACCAACAAATACTGTACTCTGTATGGAATAAGAATGTACCTCGCTCCACAGGTGGCTTCTAGTTCTATCAGCAACCTTATCATAGTTATAAGCCAGATCTGCACGCAGAGAGCCTGTTTTAGTTTGGCACCCAGGTAAATTCTAATTAAGTACAGAATATAGTCCTATGGGCTATGAGGAATGAGGATCAATAGTTATACCTAAAAGACTTAGTTTGCATTTAACATGAAATGTAATGATGACATGGTACAATGTTGCAGATAGTGAAACGAAAGCTTACAGTATACAAATTATATTGCTAGCCACAAGACATACTCAGAATAATCTCGTTATGTACCAAGGTCTTTCAAAGGTATTTCAAAACACTAATCTTGACATTTCCGGGGTCATAAAATCTAAATGTTCCATTACCCCCCCCCCCCATGGATCATGGACATTAGCATAAGTCTCTCACTTTCACTACTTCCCAGAAGCGAAACTATGGCCAGTAGCGAGTACATACAAAAGTGAATTTCAGTCAATCCTTGAAAGCTACCAAGACTTATACAGCATTTTACACTGATGGATCCAAAATGGAATTCGGAATAGGAGCAGCTGTTATATTCAACAATATCAAAATAATGCTGAAGTTCTCCGACTCCTGTTCAATTTATACTGCTGAAGCTCTCGCAATCTCTTACGCCCTTGATATAATAAAACAAGAACATTTTAAAAAACCTTATTATACTCAGTGATTCTCTTAGTACTTTAACCAGTATCCAAAACTTCCACCAACCTAATAGTATAGCCAGTAAAATCCACAGCCAAATAACTTTGCTTAAACTTAACGTACAGACCATCACCATGATTTAGATTCCAAGTCATATTGGAATCCTCGGAAAAAAATTAGCTGATACATATGCATCATCATCTTTCTATGAGCTCATTTCATGACATAAAACAGTCAACCCACACACATATTATGAATGAATGACACCAATTGTGGTCAACACTACAGACCAAACTTAATGAGATAAAATCAACCGTCCTTCCTAGCCAACCTTCACACTATCCAGACGACAAGAAGTAGTTATAAATCAACTCCGAATAGAACACACAATATGGCTGACCCACAAATACATCATGACAAGAATGAAACCTGACCAATGCCCTACATGGGCTACATGTGAAGAAATACTCTCAGTCAAACACATAATTTCTCACTGCCAAATCTACATGAATATTTGATCCAAATCTACAAATCACTGACAACCTCCATGAAGCACTTGGTCCTGATCCAGCCAACATGAAAACAATTTTGAAATATTTAAAAACTACCAATTTATATTATCTTATATGATATTGTACAAATTCAAAAAACATGTTAACCCTTTTTTTATCGTAATTAATTTTAAATTACCTACTAATAAATAAAAATTGAAAGCTCCAAAAATTATGAAATATTGAGATCTCAATACAACAATAGAAATAGAAATTAAAATTAGAAAGGATTATAATCTCTAGGTAAGAATCTAGTTATATGTTAACGATAAATTTTGTAAAAAATTGTCCCCCATTTATAATTCTAATCTGACATTATTGAGAGCATTAATTACCTCTCTTCAATGGTAACACCATTCATTAAAATACAATCAGTTATTCTAGTTTTTGGATTAATTGTACATCTAGAACCGATAGTGCTACTTTTAATGGACGTTTTCTCCATTATTTTAGTATTAGGCCCAACAAAACAAGTATCCTTATCAAACTGATTTGATAAGATTTCAGCTTCTGGTGAAATTTTATCTTTTTCATCTCCTAAATTTATGTTTAACTTGTGAATCTACAAACAAATAAGAAATTAAACAACATGTTAATACAATTTTTTTTGCCAATAACTTACAGTTTTATTGATTCTGCAATAGTCATACAATGTGTTTGCACGTACTCCAATATGTGAATCAATCACACAAGCATAACATTTAATAATTTCTTCAAAGTTTGATAAATTACCAAAACTGGACATGGAACGAATATTAGCTTCAATATCAGATTCTTTTGATATGTTAAATATATCAGGTTTTTCATTTTCTTCATCTTCAATACTCTTTTCATTCGGTTCAATATTTTTACAATGTTTCGATAGTTGTTTTTTCACTACAAACGGAAGTAGTTCTCCTTTAAGAGTTGAAATATTACTGAAATAAATAGTAAACAATTTAATTAACAATTATATCTATATAAGTTAAGAATAAATAAAAATAATTTAGCTTACACATCTTTTAAAAGATAATTAACCAGCCAACGTTTCATAATGTACATATGAGAATCTAATAATTTTGAGCAAAGAGTTAGATTTGAACATTTATTTAGTAATGAACTACTGATTGGCATAGTTTCTTCAAAATCTGATGCTGAAGCCATTAACAATAGTCTAGATGTTTTTGAATCATATCCAATAATATCTTTTTCTGTAACATATAATAATAATTTGAAAATCAGATATATCACATGAAAAAATAAATACAGTAATCACTAAGTTTTATAGTATTATTTCTCCTAGTTATTGATGTATTACATTTCTAACCATTTGATTTTTGAAAATCAAAGTTTTATTATTAATAATGATATTTTAATTTTAATTGTTATCTATGTATGTTGATGCAACATCAATCAAATGGTTGGTTAACACCACTTAATTAAAATAATATTAAGTTTATTCGAAGTATTTAATGAGTACTATACAAGGTGATACGTAAATATTCCAAAACAATGAAACAATTTTCTTTATACCTTTAATATAAATTTAAAATAATTTTTTTATTTTTTATTATTAATAATACCCTCAGCAACATGGGCCATTGGGTTTTAAAATAAATTAAATTTAAATTCATGCACATTAATATTTTATCATATATGCATTTTAAAATTTTGAAATGGTTAAATTAAATTGTAGATTGGCTATTTGAATATTAATAATAACACTTAATTTATTAAAACTTCGAAGAAATATAAAATAAGATTTAATAATTATACAAAGATTTGCAAAAATGATATGGTTATTGTATGGTGTTACTACATACATAATATTATTATAATAAATTATGGCTTTACCAAACTTATTCTTTGATTTAAGTCCAGGTACAGTAAAAATACATTTTTCATCCTGTGATGGTGAAAAATACAAAGATACTAAAGATGCATTATTATTTCTGTAGATATCTAAAACTTTGTGTAAATCAACATCAGTTATTAAATCACAACTAAGAATGATGACATCAGTCTGAAAATACACAAATATATATTAGAGCAAATAATTTATATAATTTAATACATATCTTTACTAATTTACTTATAATTATAAATTACTAAGATATAATCAGAGATATGTCGAAGAGAATCAGCTGTACCCCAATCTTCATCAGATGGAATTGGAACAAAACTCAAATTCATTTCGAAACCAAGATTATCTACTTCTTCTTGTATATCACTAGCATAGTTATCTGCTACTATTATTTTTGTATCTAAAACAATAATATAAAACTTCAAAAAAAAAAAAATTAAGGAAATTATTTTATCATTGACTACATAAATACCTAAATGAAGATAAAGATAGATTTTTCATTACATTTTATTAATTTATCAACTTAAATTATACAATTAGACATTAGTAGGTATTATTATTAATTTCTTTTATATTAGGGACTTAACAAGTATTTTCTTTAAGTTGATTATGGCTTTTAATAAAATGTGTCAATATTCATACATTATTACTATTAAAGTGATAAAGTGAAAGGTTAATTTATTAGCATTATGTTAAAATTTTAATGTCTAATTGGATATAGGTACTTAGTTTAGAATAATGTAGTGATCACACGTCATACAGGTAATGATTCCAAAGAGGTAGATGGATTAGGATGTGTGAAATTAATCAGCAATAAGTCTATTATTGAAGTCCAAAATTTGTTTGATTGAAATATTTTCAAGTACAAATTATTGATTTAGAGTCTACTGGTGTAAGGGTGCTTATACTGACCCTGACAGTTCACGTTTAAATATGGTTTCTATTGGTCCCTCCTACATAGGTCTACTCTTTAATTATAACGATAAGATAATGTTGTTTCCATAATTATTGTGGCAATGTGCGGACAAGGTTCAGAATGTGACAATGAACCACACTCGTATGATCATCTTATTGAATTATGTTATTAATATAAAAGTGCGTAGTTTTGAATACTATAATAGTAATACTATAAAATAGTGTATATTTATCTGGTCTGTCCAGTATATCATCTCAAATTATTAACTGTTTAATAATTATGATATTTGTCTTTGTATACATATATCCTATATAGGTAGCTAGACAGACGTCAGTAAATAGAAATAATATGTGATACTAAAACAGTACCTTTATTTTACAGATAGGTAGGTTAAGTCAATGTAAACAAGTGAGAGTACTAATAGGCTATCTACTCACCTCTGAATCCAGCATTCTCAAGCAGCTTAAGCGGATAGTATATCATTGGTTTATTGCCGACTGGCAACAGACACTTTGGTTTTGTGGCCGTCATCTCGGGTATTCGGGATCCTTTGCCGGCAGCCATGACGACCGCTTGGAATTCCAACCAATTTTGCATAGCGATTGGATACTGTCGAAGAGGGTTCTATATTATTATGAGATCAAGTTAGTTACAAGCTAGTGGCTACACAAGTCACAAAACACAATCCTCAAACTCAATTCAAATATCGATGAAGATGAAGTTACAAAAGCTGTGCAATATCACTATATCAGAGTATCAGACACTGCAACTGAGTGCGACTCGTAAAAAATTAAAAAGCAACTGGCCACTGGCGAATAGAATTCGTTGTTAGACCATTTCACTATCGGCGATCGGCCCATCAACGAGATTAATGGGTCTAGGTTTCATGTGATAATACCGCGGACTAAGATAACCGTTATCAGCCGCAAAGGGGATGACGACAACAACGATACAAGCATACAACCACAGAATATTTCATATATTATTCTGTGATACAACGTTCCAGYTGCAGTCCAGCGAAACTGCGAAAGRCAGCAGYTGCTGCAGCCTGCAGTGCAGCTGCTGATGACTGGACAACGATTCCGTTCCAGCCTGCYATAAGTCAATTCAGCAGCAGCCAGTGCGGCCATGGGACTGGAAAATGAAAAATATACGATAAGTTTTCTGAACGGTTCAAGCAAAGCAAGGGAAGAACATATTCATTTATAGCCCCACAAATAACAAAATTACCGGACTGTCGGTAACACTGCACGCAGTTGCACCTTTCGGGAACAATGGATTTGTACTTTATAGTTATGTAGTAGTGGTCTGACTAGGGAAGAGAGAAAGCCCTACCAGTTCCACCTCCGACCTCCATAGATATCCGATATCCATTATTTTTATTATTGTTTGGTATATAGTAGGTTTTTTCCCCCTGTGCACCTACCTATTGCAACTCTTCTGACCGATAACAAAGGACAGCCAAAATACAAAATGGATCTTAAGTGTTCGCGATTATCGTCTTGCTCCATCTAAAGGTACTCCGAGCAGACCACTAGCGGCCCATCGCTCTCTCCGTTCGTCGACGTCGTCAATTCGCCTCTGCCACCACCATCATGATTGTCGTTACAGGGTAATCGGGGTCAAAAACCTCTTGTTCCAAGGGTTCAAGGTTGTTGTCGTTCCTGACCGAGAGAGGCTATGATAGTATGATGTGTTAGTCTGCATAGGCCCTACACAGCGTACTCACACACACACACACACACACACACACACATACGCATACACACACTCTTAGTCTCAATTCACTTACATACACTCTCTCCCACGACGCACAGTAACGTCTTCACATAGCATAAGTCATATCGGTGTGTATCCTTGGTGTTTCTGAAAACGCTGTATACGCTACCCGTCCAAACTGGCGCATCCCGTTCTGCCAAGACGTTCCGGCAACGTCCATCATGATGGTCGACCTCCACTAATTGACGATAACATGCTGGCTTTATGGCATGAGAACGACCGTTACTCGTTTGAGGACTCTGACCGGTTTGAAGAAGATTCACTATGTACATGGAGCAGTGAACCTGAATCTGCGTGCATAAACTGGAGAGGATGGAGGAAACCGGCCGAACTGAATACAGAAGATGGTTAGTACATATAATACATTAAATACTTTTGTGTTTTATATAGGTATGCTAGTTTGTAACTTTTTTTATTATCAGAGAGGTTACCTATTTGGAAATTAATTTTTAGTAATCTTACTTTTTTATATAGATATTTAATTACCAATTAAATTCCTTGATTTAGTTGAATTTTTATTTATTTATTTGTAGGAAAATAGTTAATTAAATCCCAATTGGTAGGTTCCAATAAATGCATGCACATAAGTATATACCTAACCAGGTGTTGAAACCTTTCAGTTTTATTCAAATTATTCATCTTATAGCTACTTCAATAAATATAGTTTTAATTTTTTATTCATGATTAATTCAAAGAAAAAGAAATTCAACAGCTATTTTGATTCAGATATAATTAAGTAGGTATTCAAGTCTAATGTTTGGTAGTTTATTAATTATTATACCTATAACAATTTAAGGTTGAATACTGACGAATTTGGGAGACTTAATATAATTAATATAATTTTAGATTGTCTTCTTTTCATCAATTTTGATGATATTGTAAATATAGGTACATAGTGTATCAGTATCCAGAAAAATATTCTTTAGATATTGAAATTTAAGATTCCAAGTTTTAATGATTAATTTAGATATTATTTTACATATACCTACAAGTTGTTATTTTAAAATTCATATAATTTATTTATTGAATTTTAAGTCTTARCAAAAAATAAAAAAATATGGGGTTTCAATATTGTATTTTATAAAAGTACTTACCCATAATTAATCTTCCAAGAATAACAGATATAATTTATATCCAAGGAATATAACTTACTAGCTTAAATTAGAGAATAGCAACATACTTAACCGGGTACTTAACTTATTAAGGTCGGTTCTTACAATGTCCGGTTAAGTGTCAGTTTACGGTTAACTGATGGTTAGTGGGATTTTTAATGGCAGAATTCCGTGGGTTAAGTGTTTGTTAACTTTAACCGGACATTGTAAGAACGGCCCTAAATGAGCCATAATATTATCATTACATGTGATAGGTTTAACTAACTAGTTTAAGCTATTGCAACTTGAAAGCTTAGGTTATTTGGCAAGTACCTAAATAAAGTTTTGAATTTTACAGGCAATGATCCACTTATAATTTTTAACTGTATTGCTATTTTCCAAGTTTTTGATGACAATTATTCCCTAATTAATTTTTAATTGTTTTTTACTAGTAGGTTCTAATTATAATAAGGAATAATCAAAAGCTATAGAAATGTAGTTTTAACCATCCATATATCACGTTTCAAGTAACTACCTAATGGTAAGCACAATTATTGGAAACTATTTATTTGTATTTTAACAAAATTAAATTTTCCAAGATCATTTTAAATCATAAATTTTCTAAAAGATTGGCTGGTCTATTAGTTAATTAAATATATATCATTAGGTACAAATGGTACAATGCACATGATAAATATTAAATAATTTAAAGCTATTTTAGAATAAGATGATATATTATTATTTTTGTAAAAGAGAAAATATGTTAGGTATTAGATATTATATTTTTTTTAATACCAATGTCCTACACCTGTATATTAATGACCTAGTTACTGTTTTCCATGGTTCTTGTACATTCATTACACTTATTATAGGTACATAACACTTGTAATTTAAATGTGGTTTTAAAAGTTGTATTGTATTAACAGTTTTTCTTGTACTACCCATCCAAATAATTTTCTTTATCTATTATTTAAAATTCTTTATGTACGTGTAAAATAATGAAAATAATTTATAGTTAGTTAAATAAAACAATGATATTTTAAAATGTTTTTTTCCTTAGGTCCAAATTGATTGGCTGTTAGATTTGTCCACAATTTGGCTTATTCTCGTTTAAATAGAACCAATTTTTTTTGCATATTTTTGATTATTTTGAACATTATGCATATAATTGCATATTAACAGATTTTTGAGATTTTGATTTTTTTTACTTAAATTTTTTAACTTTTATAAGTTATTGTTAATTTTAAATGGTATTTATTTCGTGAAATCGATAGTTTTTGGTTCATCCGTTGTATTGTTGTAAATATACAGGGTGTCCCACAGAGATCTGACATTCTGACAAATGAAATAACTTTTGTTTTAATCAATATTTTAAAAAAATTTCTTTTAAATATAATTCATAGACACTTGCGCTACATTTTTAGAATACATTTTTATTTCTTAATACTGAAAATAAAATTTAAAAATTGATAAAAAATTGATAAAAAATTTTTTTGAAATATTCAATATAGCCAATTTGTAAATCTGATCTTTATAAAAATGTATATGCCTATGGTAAAAACACTTATTTAAGTCAAATGGCTGATTTTTTTACAATTTTTTCAAATATCAATATTTTCGTTAAGTAAATTACGATCTAGTTTATGTTAGAAACCTTGTAATTTTAAATAATAATAAAGTTTTTAAAAAATATTTTATAAGAACATTTTTAAATAAGTGCATGTTAAAATCTAATTATTTTTTTTATTGTATTTATTTTAATAATATGTGATGTATAAACTATAAATTTCTATAATTTACCTTACAAAAATATTCATATTTAAAAAAATTTTAAAAAATCAGCCTTTTGATTTAAATAAGTGTTTTTACCATATACATTTTTCTGAAAATCAAATTTATAAATTGGCTATATTGAATATTTCGAAAAAAAATTTTATCAATTTTTAAGTTTTTTATCTTCAGTATTAAAAAATAAAAATGTAGCGCAAGTGTCTATGAATTATATTTAAAAGAAATTTTTTAATAATATTGATTAGAACAAAAGTTATTTTATTTGTCAGAATGTCAGATCTCTGTGGGACACCCTGTATAGTATAAATGATAATACCTATCTAATCTTATCTTAGTCAGACGACTGATAGAATTACTTACACATTGTTTAATGATGTATACAGTGAGACAGCGCAGAAGTATTTTATTTATAGGTACACGCCGTGTGTTGTGTAAATGTACGGACACTTATACTTAATAATTTGAGCGGTGTTAATAACAGTATCAGTTATAAAAAATGACAAAAGTTCAAAGTGAAAGTGTCAAGCTACATCAATTTATTGAAGAATTTTCCAGTAACAATTTTAAAATAGATGTAAAAAGAGTTTTAGTCAATATAAATCTATTTTACGTTCAAATTGCCGGTCGCTCGTATTTAAAAATTTGAAACAACATATCATAGGTAGTAGAAATAGTAGCATGTAATAATATAAACTAATATTTAATGTAGTTACAATAAATTATGAATAATAATAAATAATAATATTCTAGGAATAATAAAAATTCATATTTTTGCATATAAATGCTAAAATTACATGAACAGTAGCTAATTTCAGTGATTTTGTTTCATAATTTATACTATTAATCTTATCATATATTTATTAGTTATTACCTACTTAATACTTAATTTAAGTTATATACCTAATAAATAAGCAGTATTATACTAATATATTATTATGTGTTGTAGGTTTAAGTATTGAGTTATTAAAATATATTTTGGCCATTGTCCCTATGTTATGGTAAAAGCCCATTCTTCTTGAACAATTTCAATCATCAAAGACTTTTTCTTTCCTTGTTTATGTTATGTACGGTATTGTAGACTGTATAAGTCAGAGCCTGACTATTATTGACAATCCAATGTATTTTATTGTCTCTTACTGGCCTATATATCTTCTTAAATGCTTTTAATATAATATTGCTTGCTACTAAAAGTATATAAAAAAAAGAATTAATGAACCAACAATTATACTTTTTTTGTTTTTGTATTTTTATAATTATGTATTCTATAATTTCTTTTATAAATTTAATGTAGATTAAAACACCTAAAGCTCTAGGAAAAAATTTCCTAGACCCTGTATTCTTGATTTACCCTCATACACTGCATATCATCATAACTATCTAAAAGTTAGATATTATTTTTTCA